ACTGTTGTATCCCCTCTTTTCATCAATTTTATAGAAAAATATCTGCCATTTTTAAATGTTACATGTACAAGTTAGGAGATATGTTTCCTTTGTTCCTTTGAATTTATCTTTATGAGAGCATGAAATAAATAGAATACTAGAATGGTATGCATTTAGTGTTTATCCAGAAAGTGGAAATATGATGAATATTAAAATTAATTGTTTTATGATTATGGTTATAGCAAATGTTGGAAGTGAGGAATGGGTTTCTAGTGTGTCTGTTAGCAATAAATAAATAAATAAACAAATAAATAAATAATCATAACATTTATAAGGAAATATCTGAAACTAGAAAATGTATACTGAGTGTTAAAAATAAATGTTACCTGTCCAATCTCATTCATGGATTCTAGCTTTGAATTTTGACATTTTGACTATATTTTAAAGGGCAAATTAATAAAGTAAAAAGCATTGTAGATAATGTTCCTCTAGAAACCACACATTATAAAAGAAAATCTCAGAGTGTATAGAAACTCTTTATGTGAGAGACCCAAAGCCAAAAAGAAATACATGTACTGCCATGTTTCTGTTTTGCATACAAGAACTAGATTAAATTATATTGCTAAGGACACTGCATTTTCTTGGCAGAAAATAGTAAAATGGTGTTAGAAATCAATTGAAAGTCTCCAGCTGGCTGGCAAGGTTTTAGAGTTCTGGAAGGTTCTCTGCAAAACCCTGATGGGGTAAAAGTTATCAAAATCTTATTCAACTTTAGCTTTATGACCAATGACAACAACCAGCTGTCTGGCAGGATGCTAAATGGCACAAAGATTTCTACCACAGAGCTAACCTAGAGTGTTCTGGCTAAAAATGTGACCCACTCATTGACAGAAACTAGCATCTGGTATTGTAAATCCAGTCAAGAGACCATGGCTGAGGAAGTCATATGCCCTCTCATGTAACTTACAAGTAGGGTTTTGATTAATACACATGGTATCAAACTTGTTTAAAACTATTAAGCTTATACCTATGGATCAGTGATGCTGTCTGGATTCATCAGAGAAATTCCTTTTCGTATTGGGTGGTACTGAATCTGAGGCTGGAAGCTCTATGAGCTAAAAATAACTGGATATATTCAGGTTCATGGAACACCTGAAATAAAATGCAGGGGAAATTTATGAACCAAAGAAAAGCAAGGAAATCTGTGAAACAGGAGTTCTGGACATGGTCCCTGTACTCATGGACTCACTGCTGTGGAAATCAATACAAGGTTAGACCCAACAATATTTTATCATGAAAACTGATGGCTTGATGAGTTCCCACTCTTTAGTAACAGGGTATTAGCAGTTAGTGGCTGCCGGGAATGACTGAGGTATTCTCTGCAGTGGTGTAGCCACTGCTGCTATGTTCTGGCACATAATCCCCAAGTCACACCCATGCAAGCAAAGAAAATTAAATCACTTAGTCAAATAAAAATTGCAGTTGAAAAACAATTATTGAGAATAAGAGTTTCAAAGTTAAAGGGAAGAGGAGAATAGAAAGTATAAATAAGAATATGTAATTATTATTTATGTTTTTAATTTCCAATGTATATTTAGAATAAAATGACAGAAAAATAAAGTAGAATGGACACCATAGGGAGAATATGGAAAGACATTAAATGAACACAAGCTTATATTGTGAATTTACTTTAGTAAAATGGAATTAAGCAAAAAAGTAAAAAATGTGGCAAATTAAATAAGTATAGGAAAGAGTTTAACAAAGAAATACATTTCAGTTTCCTAAAGGCAGACAAAGCCTCTAGGAAGAATATGGGTTTACACTCAGCTTTACCTCATCATTCTTATGGTGAGAGGGTGACTGTTCACTATTCTTCTGAGGTAGATGCAATATCATTGGTATTCTAGCCTAAGAAACAAACAAACAAACAAAAAGTCCAATAAGCTGTAATGAAGATGTACAGTCCTTCAGGTATTTTGATGGAGTTCCTCAACACTTCTCTGTCTCACAGAACAATTACAGAGTTGACAGCTGGGTCATTCAAAGTAAGGACATTTTTGTTAGGGCCTGTATAAGTGTGAGAAAATATATAAAACTTTCAAATACTAAAGAAACCCCAAATCCTCAGGGTCCACTCTACTGATCTTGAGAGTGAATTCTGTGCCTGATCCGCTGTTACTAATCCTGTGTGTTCAGAAAATCAGGTTCATATCTTGTCATTTAAGAGCTATAGAGACTGTGATGGTTTCTGCAGGTAACAGTGCAAATATATATTTCCCCTATTTTGTACAAGGTTCATACAAGACCCGAAAGAGATTGAATCTACATCCCCAAAGCTCAGAGACAGGACAATCAAAAATATCATCTATAGGAGCTAAAATAATTACAGAGGAGTCTAAACAGACTTCAAGAGCACTCTTTGCAGTTGCTTTTTTATGGTTATTACAAATAAGATGTTTATCTTACATATAATTTGTTATACACTAATATTTCCCTTTCACAAAGTAAAATGAAAGCCATAAGAGCCTTCTAGGCCTATCTCCAAACATCATATCTCCAAACATTCAGTCCATCTGTTTTATAATCTCTACTATAGCATACTTTGTTGAACATCTGAACTCTCCTCACAGATGTAAGCTTCACAGGCTCTATGCTGTTGGATAAGACATGCCTTCTCATACATAAACAGAACACATGTGATCAGCAGTGGGACTCAGGGCTCAACCTCACTCTCCATTCTCCTCTCACTTCCCTCTGTTCTCTCTAGGAATCCTGAACAACAACAGCAGTAATTACAACCTAACAAACAATTTCATTTGGAGGAGGCAGCCTGAGGAGATAATCAATCACTGAAGGCTACAACTGAACTTATAGAATAGAGTGTCAATGGAGGGGTACTCTCAAGGGAGCAATATACAGAGGCCCTGGTGAGTGCTACAGTACACATGGAGGGAAGAGTCATGCAGACTTCTCATAATTATAAAAAAAAATTACATTAAATATCTTCTATGTGAAGAGTGGCAATAGTAAAACAATATGTGGTGATCAATGGGAAGATAACATGCTTATAACAGTGTATCAGGTAGCACCAGATACTTAATAAGAGCTATATGGCAAAAACACAGGAAGGAGTGAAAATGAGAACATGTATTCAATCATTCTCTATAGGTTGAATAATTAAGCTTTTGTTCCTATTTGTCAAGTTTACAGAGAAATACTTCATGAATGGTAAATGTTAAAATCATGTACTATATCTCCTGTGATTTATTGTATTTGTCTGACTGGGAGTATAAAAATAAATGAAAATATTTGGAATGCACATATTTTGTTTATTTTAAAATGAAAACTGTATATTAAATAAATAATCACTTCCAGCCCAAACCTCTACCATCAATCCTAGAGGCTTGTAGCCCTCAGGAACCACTAGGTGAGACTGCTACCAAAATTCCCTGACTGCTGCACTTTCTGAGCAAACCCAGCAGATACAAGTCCAGCCATGCCCCTTCTGCATTCCATTTCCTTGGCCAGAACTCTGCCTACATTCCTGAAGGCCTCTTGCTACCTGGGGAAACCAGGTAAGTTCACCAAGAAGCAAACCCCTGCTCATTGGCTCCCATGGCAAGCCCAGCAGCTATGAATTCTGCCCTGTCCTCTCTGTGCTCCCTCTTCAAGAATACCTCTACCAGAGGTCTAAAAGACCACCAGCTCTTCCTGCTTCCTGGGAGGCCAGCCTCCACCAGGAACAACCAGAGGCCTGAAGCCACCAGGCACTTTCAGCTTTGCCCACATGCCTGGAAATCTGTTGACTTCAGGGACTATCATCTTTACCTGGAACCCAGAGGTGTGCTCCCATCAGGGAATTCAAGGTCTGCCAACATTAAGAACAACCAGATGGCTAAAGATGGGCATAAGAATACAATCAGAAAAACAACAACAAAAAAAAAACAGTACTCATAGTGTGTGTCATAGTGAATCTAGAATGTTAACATCCCTGAACACAGCACAGCACTGCTATGTAGCAATACAGGCTAATCAGTTTATTGGACAAAGGCAATTGTTCTCTGCTCTTATCTGCAGATGATAGTATTTTGTCTTTTCCACAGCAAATGATGCCCAGACCTCTGTGTCATCCATGACCTGATCCTCCTGCTGATACTATTTCTCCATATTTCCACATCTAGGCTTCTTACCATCCATGACTATATCTGTAGAGGTTGCTTTTCTGGTTCCCAGATTTGTTTTTTTTCTTCTTGTTTCTAAGTCTACAGACACTATCCTAGTATCTGATATACAGAGTGATAGAATAGGCTTCTCCTCAAGCGCCAGCCGGTCAAGCAAGAAGAATCACTGAAACATCAAATGACATCATCAGTGGTGTTAAGGAATATAAGTGCTGTGGGCTTTTGCTGTGGGTAGGAATAACAGAGCTGTCTGTTTTAGCTTGTGGTACTCCCATCACTGAGTCCCACCAATAGAGCTCTTGCTTGAGTCACAGGTTGTTTTCCACTTTCTACTCTGCTTTCAGTTTCAGTTTCTCCTTCTTATTCTGCTATCTTTGTTTTAAGGGATCTTTTATGGCTAAGACTAATTTTTCTTTTGTGTGTGTGTGTGTGTGTGTGTGTGTGTGTGTACATGCCCACCCACCTGTCTGCCTGTCTTTCTGTCTGTCTTTATGCACATCTATGCCCAGGATAGTCAGAATAGAAGAGCTCATCAGATTTTCTATAAAAGTATTTATAAATGGTTGTAAACCACCAGCTGCATACTAAGAACTGAACACAGGTCCTCTACAAGATTAGCCAGTCCTCCTTTCTGTGGAGCCATCTCTCTGTTCCTTTTTAATAATTTCATCTATGATTTCACCTGTCCCATTTAAAAAAAAATTAACTACCCTTGGTTATTCATAGTATCATACATCAGAAAGTTCTAAATATATAACTTTCCTTAGAAGTTCCCTTAATCTCCTCTTGCCCTAGTTTCTCCATTTACGAAACTGTGAATATTTAAGACTCTTGTCCATTACTGCCTTATAAAAGCATTTCAGGTGTTACTTTGTCACATGTGTGTCAATAAGTGGCAGAAAAGAGAGACACTTTGTCTCTTCAGTATTTTGATCTGTGAACATCTGCCTGATAAGTAGCCTACCATTTTCTGAAAAAAAGGGACCCTGAGAAGACAAGACTTGTATTAGGCAGTCTCAGATTGTCTCCCAGGATGGAGAACAGAAAAATCGAAGAACCTCACATAAGTTCAAGGGCCCTGAACAGGAATGACAGACATCCATTGCAAGGTTCCACTCAGGCAGGAAGGGCAAATAGAAAGTCCAAAATGCACACCAGTCTGGCATCATGGGGCCCAGACACGTAGCTAGCATGACCACTACTCCCGGACCAGCCAGACCCAAATGACAGATCATGTCCACAATGACCCTTGCCTGGAGACAAAATGCACAAGCAGGGCATAGCTCAACTGAGACCTCTTTTGATATGATTTCAAGAGCCTACAAGATCTTCTAAGATGAGCAAGTGAGTGGCAGATAAATGGGAGAAAAGAAGAAATAGGAGAATGTGGTCACAAAGAAGAGAGGCAGAACCGGGGACTAGAGGGTTATGAGGAACAGCTTGCTGTGAGTAGCTGTTGATGATAACTAAGACCATGGTAAAGTAGTGGCCTATGCTGCCAACAGGGGGCTATGACTGGGTACACAGTATTAGCAGGTGTCTGTCACCACTAAAGTCCAGCAAACATCCATGGTCTGAGTTGGGACCTGGGGACATGTTGGTGTCTGAGGATTGGGCTGAACTGGCTCACCTCATCATCTGGGCATGGTAGGAGAGATGATTCTGAAAGCATGAAATCAGGAGAGTAGATGCTAGCTCTAGCCACCTGCAGTTGTCACAGTTGCTTGGGCCCACACATTGCAGGAGTTGTGGGTGTGCTGGCCCAGAGGATACAAGCAGCATGAGAGAACTTCTGTTAGCACTCATCATTATGCATGGGACATCCTCTTCACCTCTTTTCCACCTATGGCAGTCAAGAGAGTGGACTTTGAGTCATAAAAGCAGAAGAGCTGGCCCTAAACCTCTTCAGCTGTATCATTCAGGACACAGGGTCCTGCATCTTGGCTGGGCAGCACATTAGAGCTGACCTTGATGGCAGAGCACAGATGAGCTGAACTTGAGGGTCTTATTGTGGGAAAGAGCTGGCCCTGCCACTTCTCTGCCACAAGGTTACACAGGCAAACGAAATTTGCCCCCCAATCTCTTGCCACATAGACCAGACATCAGGCCCCAAGGTCATTAGAGGGGAAGAGATTGTTCTACCCTCAAATGCTTCAGCACTCTAGAGCAAAGGTCCTGAATTTTACATGGGCAGCACAGTAGAGCTGACCCAGAATATGAGGTTTAAAAGTGAGCCAGCCCATAGTGTGTTAGTATGGGAGAGCTCACCCTGTCTCTTTTTTGCTATGTAGTGGACTTGGTTGACAGACAGGACAGCTGTCCCTAGGATCATGAGAGTCAGAAAAATGGCCTTGTCCATCAACAGCTGCATCACTGAGGAGAACAGACCCTGTACATGACCTAAGCACATGGTTTAGTTGACCCTGTTTATGGTGGTTGCTAGTGAGCTGATGACCTCATGGGTATGGAAGTGAGAGAGCTGGAGGACTGATGAGCTCAGAAACCTCTCAGGCCTCATCTAGGGTTTTGAATTGACCTACCTACATGACTAATGCAGTGACTATGCCTATCAATTACATGCTAGAGTACATGAAGGGTACAGTCCTACAAATCTAAAACTACAGGATCTTCATGACACAGTGCAACCAAAAGATGTTCAGTAGGAATTAGGATGATGAACCAATGATGTTGCTGTATTAATAAAGTATCAGAAGCCAGAGGCTTTGTACCAGGCCAATGTGTAAATCCAATGAAAATTTGTAAACAAAGACATGTGGAGAATGTGGAGAAAAGTGTCTGTTCTCTGATACACTATGACACACTACAGCTTCCATGACAAGATTTTTTTCTCTATTGGGGGCATAGTTTAAACTGGGTGGAGTGTCAATATGAACAGAGGGAGATGTGAATGTAATTGGTATATAAGATGTGAAATCAACAAAAAATTGCTAAAAATAAATAAATGAAAATGAGCTTAACAAAGAAAAGAGACTGGGTATATTGGAGATGAACAGACAGTAGTGTAGAAGAATGGGATACTATGAGGAAACAGGAAATAGATCTTACCTATACATGATTTCTGAAAACATAAGGGAAAAGAGTATAGGTCTCTGTTTTGTTGGTGTTTTGTTTCTAAAACTATGCTCTGAGATATCAATTTTGCATTGATAACACTTCTGGAAACATCTGTAACAGCTCTATACTCTCTATGCTTTCATCGGTTCCAGATCCACTGACTCTGAACCTTGATCAGATCCAATCTTCCATATTGGCTGCAGGATACATCAGGCTCTTTGGAGCTTCCCCTGGTTTCTGCTTGAACAAGTTTGAATCAAAATTAATGCCCTGACTTGCCCTGCAGGTGATGGTGACTCTGTCTCCCAGAGATTAAAAACAGGGAGGGCTCAGACTGGGTCATCTGTTTGTGACATCTGGAACCTAGAGGTGAAAATGTAATAGATATCCACATAGTTAAGCATGATAAGAAGGAACATGCCTGAAATTCCAGTCAACACTAATCACAGTGTAATAGTAAAAGTCTCATTTTAGTTAGGTTTTACCTGGAAACCACAGCAACAGCAGCCCAAGGAACTGACCAGGGGCCCTCATGTACATGCTGAGTCCTGACTGCAGTGACAATGACACAGAATATAACTTGTATATAAAGAAGTCCCCAAGTTAGTACAATGAGGGCTTGCAAGTCATTGGGAACAAGTTAAGGCTGGGCACAGCTACTCATCTGAGAATTTAATTATATCCTAGTGACTCCAGATGCCCAAGTTCAGATCACACATACACATCCAGAGAATGCATTTCCAATCAATGATTTAAAATTGTAGATAAAATTGCTATTATATGTGAGCTCTATTTTGAATGATATATTTCAAAAATACACTTCAGTAATATAGAAAAATATCTTGTTGTCAGGGAGTATACAACAAAGAAACTATTATATCTGTAACTCATTCTAATAATTTTAATTGATTAAAAAATAATATGTTTTCTGCTTTTAAAGTGATTGTTAGGGTAACCATTTTGTTAAATTAAAATGATAATTTATTGGTATAATTTCACTGATGCAAAAATTATGTTTTACAGTATTATCATTCGTAACTTTTGTTCAAAAAGAGAAAAAAATACAGTAAGTACATATATAACACCCTGATACCCAAAACCTGTGTCACTTGAAATTCTCAGTGCATATGAAGATGGGGTGTCTTTTATAATGATGGACTAAATTGGTACACTGTAGTTCAGTTCTGAATCCTCCATATTTTACCTTTTTCTATCAGTTGCTACTGTTCCCTACAATTTCTGAGCAGAAAGATTTCACTAGTGATGAAACTTAAAAACTATAACAGAAAACACTGCTCTCAATATATAGCTTTGCTGTATTGATACTTTTATCTATCATTATTAAGTAGTAACTGTAGAAATGATCCTGATTCAGGGAGCAGTCTTACTATTGTCAAGTGAGTCCAAGTATCCAAACAAGTGATGATCTAGAAATGATTGTACATTCTTATAACACAAATATTTGAATACAAAAGATCACACATCTCTTTCTATATCCTGACTATTCAGCCTTATTCATCATCAGGAGAAACATAATCTATTCAGTCTTAAGTATTTTTGTCCTGGAGTCATACAATGCTTTGTGTCTTTTAAAACATAAATATGAAAGGCCAAACAGTGTTGCAGCATGAGCCTGAACCTGTTAATTTTCCAGAGCTTTTGGCATGAGTACTGGGTGAGAAGAAACACCTAGTAAAAAGCAGTTTCTTCAATATAAACAGCATGTTCCCCGTCAGAAGTATACTGGTAGATTAATAGTAATGCTGCCATCTCAGTCTTTTCCCTAAACTCTCTTTCTGCTAATATCTACCAGTTGTGTCTGTGTCTCTCTTTGATCTTTGAGGCTTGATAAACATGTCTCCATTCTCACATGATAACCCCAGGGTCTGAGGAAAATTCCCTCAATATCTTGAGTATATAATAGCAGGGGGATGACAGTTCCTATCAATGTAAAAGAAAAAATGAATTATTAGTCTGGGATCTGAATTTCTACCACATGTCCTTTGATGATATATACCAATATCAATGGCTTTCTGATTTTTCTTCAGCCTTCAAAATGATCCATATTAAGGAGTTAATAATTGGGGATTGTTAGAACTCATTCAACTTTCTGATAAATATACTAGTCTAAGATTTAGAACTTTGTTTTTAATTAATTTTTTATTCACTTTATTTTACACTCACTGTCCCTCTCTGTCCCCTAATAGGCCTTCCCCCATAACACCTCCTTTTCTCCTTAGAACAGGTTCCCTCCTCCCTATATATCCCCCCAACCTGATACTTCAATTCTCTGTGTTGCTAGGTGCTTCCTCTTCCACTGAGGCCAGCAAGGCAGCCCAGCTAGTAGCACATATCCCATATATTGGCAGCAGCTTTTGGGATAGCCCCGTTCCAGTTACTTGGGTCACACATGGAGTTCAAGCATCTAGTCTGTTACATATGAGTGAGGAGATGTAGGTCCAGCCCATATATGTTCTTTGGTTGGTGGTTCAGACTCTGTGAGGCCCAAGTGTCCAGGTTAGTTAACTGTTGGTCTTTCTGTGGAGTTCCTATCCCCTTCGGACCTGAAATCCTTCCTCCTATTCTTCCATAAGAGTCTTCATCTACACCTTGGCTATAGGTGTCCAGATCTCTCTGGGTCAGCTGCTGGGTGAAACATCTCAGAATATAACATGTTCCTGTCTGCAAACATAACTGAGTATCATTAATAATGTTAGAGATTGATGCTTGGCCATGGAAGGTGTCTCAAGTTGAGCTGGTTATTTCTTGGCAATACTCTCAGCCTCTGCTTCTTTCCCAGTGCCTGCACTACATTTAGACAGGATAAATTTAAGGTTAAAAGTATTTGTGGGTGGGTTAGAATCTCTATAGCTTCACTGGGGTTCCTGCCTGG